AACTTGCCCAGTCTAACCCCGTCCAGACGACTCCGATAAGCCTCACACCAAGAAGTGCCGACAGTGGGTGAAGGCACGCGGTCGCATCTCCCCCGCCGGCGGCCACGAAGCCCATCTCTCTGCTATTGCCTACATGTCTGACAGCTACTTCATCGGCACCATCGCGCGCACCCACAAGTTATGGCGCTATTCCACACAACGCAAGAGTGCCGCAAAGTCTAGCATTGACGAAGACGTGCTCAAGACACTGCTGGAGATGGATGACGCTGAGCTGAAGCGCCAGAAGTTTGTCGACGAGGCAGATATCCAGCGCATCCAGCGTATAAAGAATGGCGAAGACCCGTCAAAGGACACTGACGCGCCGCCTGAGATTGGCATGATGGTCAGTCTTGACCACACCATCTACTTCCACAACCCTCGCAGCTTCCGGGCTGACGAGTGGATCTTCACCGAGATGGAGACACCCTGGGCTGGTGACGGCCGTGGACTTGTCTTCCAGAGGATGTACACCCAAGACGGCACACTCATTGCGAGCTGTGTACAAGAGGTAAGAACTTTGCTATTCACACATGCAATCAGCTATGCTAACTTGACTAGGGCCTCGTTCGGCTTAAGCAGAACGACAGCAAGCTGTAAAGATGTAGTCACGCTTCTCAGTATTCATGTTTTCGCTTATCCACTTGTAAAGACTTAGATCCTTTATTGATTTCCAATTACACTGCAGCCGACTCATTCCATCGCTCCTTCCACTCCTTGGGCGTACCTTTTGGGCCTTCATGTACTTACGCGAGGATATCCACTTTCACATGCCTGCCGAGCGGGAAGGGTCCAACCAGTAGTCTAAAGAGACTATTGGTTAACATATTACCTTTATTCGTCATTAATTCTACACAGAAGGATCCAAGACTCACAGGCAACAGGAGGGTATACACGCTAACACCAATCCACGCTGTCAAAAGTTGCCCAAAGAAGCAACCTGGAATACGTCATGCCGTAACACCCGAATGATGCCGATCAGCCCTACCCGCACCCCTCGAAACAACCAAATCCCATGGCATACGCAACTCTTCTCCACAAATCTGCCCCAAACCCCTGGTCTCGACTTTTACAAGATGGAGGTCACGGCGTCCCAACCCCCCATCCTTTATCTAACAGCAATCCGCCCGCGTGAACATCTGAATCTCCCGATCCCCGATCCCATGAATCATCGACTCCGCATCTAGCACCACCAACTAACACTGTCGTCATCTTACCTTCACGTATGCACGCGTCAAGTTAGGGCTGCGCATATATAATAAACAACCGCATCTATGGATTCCGCTCCCGACAACCCAAATTCAATGCCTGCAGCAACCAGTGGCTCTCGCTCCAAACTTCTTTCAACAGGCCTCAAGGACTTTCTTAGCAAACCCGCTCTCAAGCATCCACAAAAGGCATTCACCGTACAACTTTGGAACGCGGAACAAAAGGCCAACCCTACTGGCAACAATCCACCTCCACGACTAGCAGCCGGACAGCAAAGAGCAGAAATGTCGACTTCAGCCAGCGGACAGGCGACGGGGGATATCGTGAGTAGCGCGAACTCGGGATTTCCGAAGACGAGCGATGCGCCAGGCGAGCAGTTTGAGCCCAGGCAAACGGCTACAAGTGAGGACTATGAGCCAGATCCGAGCAAGAGCATCAAATTGAGCCCACAAAGGCAAGCATTAGTCGACGATGTATGAGCATATACCTTCGCATCATCACCCTCAAAAGGAGAAAGCTAATGACACCCACAGATCATCGCCCTGTACTCCTGTCAGCCCACTATTCAACGAGTAAAACGTTATACACCAGACTGTGTCTACGATGACCAGTTCGTCTACGCAAACGACCGCTACAAAATGGCCGGTCAATGGTTCGCCCTTCCCAAACTCTTCAACGCTTCAATCAATGAATCTTACCAAGTAATCCGTTCCGACGACGATATCATCCAGTTCAAAAACAAGCAGTCCTGGACCTTCCGTCTGATTCCCAAGACAGCTACCATTACCGGTTTGGTAACGCTTAGTCTGGATCCTGCGACCAAGGACAGCCAATTTATGCAGATCAAGTATCACAAAGACCAGGCAAACGACAAAGATTACAGTCATGAAGGAGTGGGTTTCAGTTTCAAGAAGTGGCAGGCGGACAATGTGGTAAAGCACATGGACACGCCCGAGCTCAAAGAATTCGAGCAAGATAAGGGCGCCAACAAGGAACATGTTCGAAAGTATGGAAGTGGAAAGGAAGAAGGTAATGCACCAAAGAAGGATTTTACGAACTAGTCAAAGGTTCAGATGAGCAGCTGGTGCATCAAATGTGCCCACCAATATAATTTAAATTTTTTTTCCACAACTCCAATAACTTGGTCGCTTAGCTCAGTTGGTTAGAGCGTGGTGCTAATAACGCCAAGGTCGCGAGTTCGACCCTCGTAGTGACCATTACAGCCTTTCTTTTTGCTTTTTGAGGATATACACTGATGGAATTCCTTCTTTTTTTGCTGTTGTGGGTGTCTTTGAATGGGGGTCGGACGGTGACCACACCAACCACGATATTGACCTCTGTGAAAACTTTAATGGCGGGGTATACCATATTCACAAAGCAAACTACTTGTGTAGTTATCAAGCCTATTGCCGTCTACAGCAATATAAAACATAGACACCATGTATGTGATTAGGTTAACGTAGACCATACATTCATATATGGTCCGGTATGACCATAAATTTCAAAGTATTGTAGGTTGCAAACATAATCATTCATAGCGTGCTGACACTGCAAAGCAGTATGTTATACAAGTCAGTCACTCAAGTATATTCGTTCAGAAGCTGGTGGACCTCATTATAGATTACTACTCCAACCGCCCGAGCTATCTAGATTACTAAAGCAAAAGGCCACCTTCATTGCTTCATCAGTTGATTTACCCCAAGCCGTACCGCGCAGTGCGTATCGCAGGACACTGTAATAAATGCTAGCCGATACCACGCAATGAAAATGCTCATGGCCAGAATATGTAACATAATCGCCATAGTCCGGCCACGCCACCGAAAAGAAGAGAAGGGGGTCATTAAAGATTACAAAGGGATGTCGAAGTGTTCAACCCGTCTATCTTCCATATGCCTGTGCCGTGTTGTTGAGTAGGGGATTAAAAAAGGGGTTTGGGTAAAGTCTTGCAATAAAAGAGAGTAAGGAAGGTGAGAAGTGTGCTTTTGTACATCTTGTACAAAAGATTTTCGGGGGTGAGGTGGACAATGATCAACTGCTTAGACGAAGTAAGCGAGAGCAGCGGCACCAGCCATGAAGGCAGCGAGGGGCTTGGTGGAGCTGGCGGCACCAGTGTACTCAGGATAGCCGGGGGTGGTAGCCGAAGAAACGTGTCCGGTGGATGACGAGGCAGGAGGAGTGGCCTTGTAAGAGGATGACGGACCGGGAACGACAACACTGGTAGATGCCTCAGGAATGGGGACAGATTCCGTGATAACAGGAGGAGGAGGAGGAGGAGCGTAGTAGGAAGATACTGGGGGAACGATGATAGTGGTAGATACCTCGGGAACGGGGACAGACTCGGTAATGACAGGAGGAACCACAGGGTAGGTGGAGGGTCCGGGTACAACAATAGTGGTAGTAGTGTCAGGGCAAGGTGTCGATGACTCCTCTGGAACTTCAGGTGTCGAGCTAGGGGGAGGGACAACGATGGTCGTGCTAGACTCGGGGCAAGGAGTAGACGACGACTCTGGCACCTCGGGCATGGAGCTTGGTGGCGGGACTACGATGGTAGAGTAGATGGTCGTCTCCTCTGGCACGTAGGGAGTTGAGCTTGGAGGTGGCACCGTGACGGTCTCAGTCTCCGGGCAAGGAGTGGACGATGATTCAGGAACTTCTGGTGTAGAGCTTGGTGGGGGGACTGCGATGGTAGTAGTAGAGACCTCGGGAGTCGAGCTGAGGGGCGGCACGGTAACAGTCTCTGTATCTGGGCATGGGGTGCTGGAGTATTCGACCGGAGGAGTGTAGGTAGAAGTCACAACTGGGGGAGTGTAGGTAGATGTAATAACCGGAGGGGTGCTGGTCTCTTCACAGGGTGTGCTGGAGGACTCAACAGGAGGAGTGTAGGTGGAGGTGACAACCGGAGGCGTGTATGTAGATGTGACAACAGGAGGAGTGCTTGTCTCATCACATGGCGTGCTGGATGATTCCACCGGTGGAGTATAAGTTGAGGTAACAACTGGAGGAGTGTAGGTAGAAGTTACAACTGGGGGAGTGTAGGTCGATGTAACGACAGGAGGGGTGCTGGTCTCCTCACAGGGTGTGCTGGAGGATTCAACAGGAGGAATATAGGTTGAAGTAACCACCGGGGGAGTGTAGGTGGAGGTGACGACAGGCGGAGTGTAAGTTGATGAGGATACGACAGGAGGGACAGTACTCGAGACCTCTGGGATGCTGCTGCTTTCCTCATCGCAAGGAGTGCTGAACGCCTCGGGAGGGGGTCCGCCATATCCACTGGAGATCGCTGGGGTCTCGGAGGATGAAGGAACATCGTATCCGGCCTGTGTATTGTCAGAACTTGACGATCGAACAATTGGCGATCTCGGTGACGACTTACAGAAGACGGCATAGCATAGCCACCGGTAGATGCGCCGTACTCGCCGCCGTACTCGCCACCAGACTCTCCGCCGCTCTCACCACTCCACTCTCCGCTAGACTCTACGCCCTTGGACTCTCCGCCCCAGGATCCGCCATATCCCTTGTGTCCGCCGTAGCTACCTCCGCCATGGGGAGCAGCGTACACAGCGCCCACAAGGGCCATCATCGCGAAAGAGTATCTCATTTTGCTTTGGATGGGGATTTTCTGTTTGTATCAAAGTTGATCAAGTCGGAGGTGCGGAATTGAAGTAACAAAGCAACCGTAGCGAAAGAGCTGCTGTAGAAGTGTTCGAAGACTTAGTAGAACTTGAATGGCACGACAGATAAGACAGAGGAGAAGGAGATACTTAATATACTCATTAGGAGAGGCGGGATCTCCGCAGTCTACCAGCCTTCTGCTTTGCCATACCCGTAAAAAGCCACAACAGGGTCACATCCACGCACGACGGTTGAGGGGCACCGAAGTCGTTCTCCACAATCATGCGAACGGAATTTAGTTCAAAGTCTCCACAAGTCCATCATGGTTGTAACGTCGATCATACCATGGAATGAGGCTCCTTCAGAGTGTGAGACATGTCTAGCAACGCTCGCTGGCCAAATTTGCCCTAGCAACCGGCCAACACTTTCCGTGGTCAGCCCACGGCTACACCAAGTTCTATCGAGGTGCATGAAGCTTACCAAAATAGTCCGTACAGTAAGCCTTGGAAGAAAACGGCGTCCAATATAGGGTTGGCAGCGTTGAAAGTTGGGGCTTACAGCTGTACTCCAGCCACCATAACAAAGACTAACTGGCAGTGACATCACGCAGTCTAGAAATGGCATAGCTCCCCAGCTGCACAAACCGAGCGCTGTAATACTGGCCTCCAAACCGTGTCTTCATATTGTTTGGTACCATTCGGTGAGATAAAGATCATAATACAAGTCCGGATCTAGGCAATTAACCTGCATTGCGCGGAGTAAGTGCCGTTAAGGCATTGTGGGTTCATCTCTCGCGAGCCACGGGCTGTGCATGGATGGTGAGACTCCGTAGAACAGTGCCGCCAATCGAATATCTGGACACTGCTGATATCGGTGTTGAGCAATATAGCGAAAAACAAAGTTCCTTTCCCTTGTTGTTCAGAGACTGTAAAGTGGAAATTTGCGCTCGGTGACAAGGATCCCGCCACACAATTTCCCAACTTCTGCTGAGCCTGGAACTGCGCGAACTAAGATCCTCGCTCCTTCGCATACGGGAAGTACTCAGATGCGGCAAGAAGACATGTGCATTGCGCGGACTGTTTCCCGTGTTCATGCCACCCGTGGGAACAGCGTAGCCAGTCTCAATAGTTTTGACTGTTTGAACCAGCCACTGTTAGTAGCTAAGACCGTGGCTGCAGATACATGTATTGAAAACCAGTGAGTTACTATATCGTGAAAGCCTCAGCGCAACGCGGTTGGTGGACTCCCTGGAGACTGGTAGTGTCCCAGCAGGCTGGCGTAACGTTCGCTTGCCTCCGTTACCCCGCATGGCTCCAACCAGTACCTGCAGTCTTGCAGAGCACGATCGTGATACTTTTGTGGCTTGAAGTTCCCTTTCCTGTCCTCGTGAAGATTTAATCACGCGTCAGCTTGAAAGTCGGCCATGATTCCTGCAGCTGCAGCCGCCGTTTGGGAGTGGGCTGCGAGGATCGCAGCACACTTGAAATTAGTTCTGCTGGTAGGACGAACAAGACCTGCCGCGTACTCCGGCATCGCTGCTCACTGGCGCTTCGCGCAAGCGGCCGTAATACCTGCGTACGCACAACGGTCGAACGGAAAGCTCCACCACCCTGCACAAGCGTAGGAAAAACGAATTTTATCAATACCATCAGATCTCCTGTTGGTCCACCAGCAGATCATGACCTCGCTTTAAGCCAATCCTGGTTCTAGATTGCGATCACGAAACAGTTGCTAAGAGTGTGGAACATGCTATCTGTTGTCCTGTCGATCGACCCTTGCTTGGAGTCCTAGAAGTATCGAAGCACGATGTGTGACGAGTGACACAATCTGATATCAGCACGGGAATATTGTCCAAAGATCCTTCGTAGGTTGAGGTTGATGAAACCCTTTTTTCGTCCCTCAGTTTCTCCAGTTACAACTAGCAGCACCTCGACATCCGTCAGATCTTGGGGTTGCTCGATGATTGACAGTTCTTCCATAGCCCTGAGTCGTACTTTGACGAATCCACATGGATAGTGCAGGTGGTCTCATACGTTGTGTTGCCTAGCAATCGTGTGACTGACAACCGACATGGTAGATTGAACTGGTGTGGCTGACTGATCACATACGCTGTGTACATTGACGCTGGTGGCAGACGCGCTGTATTTTCCACGAAGACGCTGTGCACCAGATCTGTAAAAGCACGCCAAGTCTAGTACAGCTCGACTAATCGTCATCATCGCTTTCTGTACCGCTATCCCAGCCTTCATCGTACTCCTCTGCAAGAACTTGTAAGCCGTTACAGAGTGTTTCTTTTTCTTCGATGCCCGTCATCCGCTTGACGATTTGCTCCACTGCTCGGATCTGATCAGCAACAGCGGTACTTGTCGTGAGTCCAGTGTGCACGGCGAGCTTAGTGGAGTGATCGGACCCTACGTCCAGTATCGACCGAGGAAAGCTGTCAAGTAGAGGAAATAGTAGTGGTGCGGCAAACCTGGATCGCATTAGCATACGTTCGAATTCCGGCGTCTCACCCTGACCATGCAGTGGACGTAACATCAACGTCGCAGCCACAAGAGGGGATCAAACAGTTGCAGACCCGTCCAATCGCGACAAAGCATAGTGTAGTACAAAACGCAGATACTCACCTCTGCAATGCTGGTCCACTGTCGAACCTGTCATGAGGATCACGTTCGTTATCTTGAGACAGAACCCACTCCCCACGAGAAGCCTCTGCCCGTCCAAAAACGTGTTCTTTCTTTCCTTTCTTGGTAACCGTCCTATATTCGCGACTGAAGGTATCAATATCAAAATTACTTAGTCGATCGTCACTTTCACTAGTCTGCCTCGACGTCATGGAACCGACTTTTTCTGCTTGTTCGACTTCGTCCAAAGCTTTAGCTGACAAAACGTCTGGATCTGCCAAACTCATCTCGAGTTTTGCTATGCGTCGTTTTCCTGTACTGTTGATGGTGTTTTCCAGATCCTGGAGCGTGCCTCGTCCGCCCAAAGATGCTCTCAATCGTGAAGATATGGTCATGCTCTCCAGACCGACGACTTGCAAAGCTGCAATGTGCCAGGGCGACGTGGTGTCAACTGACAAGTAACCTGGTAATTTGGCGGGACTATTCGACATTGGCACATATACTGATGACTGCTCGCCAAGCACGTGGAGCGATCGTGCTGAATTCGTGATTTGTTGCAAACGTTTTTCCTAAAGTGTTTTAGTAATTCGCTGTATTGCGATGTTGAACAATGACCTACCCGAGGAGTCGTAGTATTGGCGCCGTGGTCACCCAAGCCCCAGGTCCAGATACTCAACTTTCCGTACTCGTCCCTCAATCTCTCTAGCCAACCTGACGTCCAGCCTCCCCAAGCGTCGTCAACACCCGTGAAGATTTGCAGTCCCTGGATACCATCGCATTCTTCAACGAATGGCCGCAGATCCCTATCGACTAAGTCGACCTCCCTCTCAAGCTTCTCGAACAGTTCCATGCCTACATCCCAACTCTCAAAAGGCATGAGCTTGTCGTTTACATCAAACTCAGACAATTGAACGATCGATTTTGGATGATAGTAGACACGGCTGTAGTCAGACCAGTACCGGACAGACGATGCACTGAGTGGGGGAGGATCCAGGCCGGCATCAAGGTGCTCCTGGTAGGCGGACTGTGGAATAGTCTCGGCTGCGCGCTGGACAATAGGCTTGGATGGCCAAACCCCGTTCTGGTCTAATATACTCCTGTCGTCCTCGGCCTCGTACAGCGCATTGATTTTTCTCATACTGCCAAAAGCACCTTTGAGGTCGTATATGAGCGTTCTTGGTGTGAAAGTATCGGATCCATCTGGAGCAACACCTGGCCTGAAAAGTACATCATGGTTGACAGGCGACTCTGTCTCAGGTGGATATGTGAAGTAGGACTCCTATGAGGATGTCAGGTTAAGCGTAATGAGCAGTTTGGCATAATGGATCATGAGACAGATATGTGAGGTGACCAGAACAGTGGGCGCAAGAGGAAGCAATGTATGTGAAAGAGTGTGCGAGCTCGATGTTTCCAGCGCTAGAAGTCAGTGCGCTATGAAACCGGTTCGCGGGAGTGGTGATTGATGAAATGCCAAGATCTCGCGACTTACCTGTGTATTCCAAAAGTGAGTGCCCAGGTAGTTACTTTGCTTGCCGAACTGTAAAGTCACGACTTCGTGCATCGTGAAGAAAGTTGCGTGACAGAATCTCAAAGTAGCTTGTATAAACGACGAGTTAGTGTTGGTTTAAGGGAGTGAGATGAATTGAATGCCGATGGTGCAGATGGAGGCAAAAGGTGATTGGTGAGGTCAAGCTCTGCTTTTGCCCCGCACGTGGACACGCGACGAGGAAAGAGCGACTCCACTACAGCAGTGACGCTCCATTGCTGCTTGTAAAAATTCGAGATGAAAATAACCAAGTGAAGTTTCGCGTACGGGGCAAGGAAATGTACTGGTTGATTGTATTGGCCTATGGATGTTTAGTGATTTTACATGTTGTCTTAACCCATAAGCTGCAACTGATCGGTTGGCGGCCATCTGGTCTGCGCAAAGCTCAAACATCGTTTGATGCTCTGCAGATACTTCCTGGTCATTTCGTCACTCATGATATGTGCCGCGTTCTTATCGCTTTCATGCAGCTTTTCTCGCGCACTTCTCTCGTGAATGCCCACCATGGTGACACCGATGGGCCATGCCGCCTTACCAATACTAAGACGTAAATATCCATCATTCGCGTCGACGTATCTTCGCTCCTGTGCAGCGTGCACAATCTCTACAACGGGTTCGACGATGCTGTCTGGAAGATCGAACTTTTCTAGCTTCTTGAACAAGGGTCGCATGTTTTCACGTGCTTGCACCATAGCAGCATAGGCTTGTTTTCCTTGGTAACTCTCTTTGACTTCGGCATCTCGACGTAGGAGCGTGAGATCCCATTCTTTCAGCACCATGGTAAAGTAGCTCGCTAGTTGCCTGAAGAGGAACTCACGGCCTTGCTTGTCCTTGGGTACCTGGAGATTGACCTTCATGTCCTTCTCGGGTACTAGTTGTAGTGTTGTGGGTATCGGACCGTCAGTCATGATGGCTGCGAGGCTGTCCGCGCCCACGCGCTTCTTGTATCGCTTGAGACGTTGTTTGTGTGTCTCGCCAAACAGTCGTGCTGGTTCATCGAGGGCTCTCAGCTTTGCGACCAGCTCTTCGTCTTCGATGTCTTCCTCTTCGGGTACCGGTGTGCCATCTCCTTCGCCCTCCTTGTTCTTGGGCGGAAGATCAGGGAGCCCTAGTCGCCTTCGCCGCTGCCTTTCCTCTGCCTCTTCCTCTTCTTCTCTTATACGTCTTGATTCTTCGGCCATGCGCATTCGCTTTTCCCGGCGCTCAGCTTCTCTTTCAGCCTCGTCCTCCTCAGCTTTGCGCTTCTTCTCCAGCCGCTCTCGCCGCGCCTTCTCGGCAGCTTCTTGCTCCGCGACGTATGCAGCTTGCCGTTGCGCTTCGATCTCGCTGCGCTTCAGGTACTTTTTCTCGGTTGACTCGGCAGGCGAGGCTGTATCTTTGCCCTTCTTGATGTGAGCGGACATCAGCTTTGCGAAGTCCATGTTTGCGATTGTGATGCTCCGTGTGCGGTGTGATTTGACGTGTCGAGGATGGGTGAGTGACGGTTGCGACCTGGGCATTCACCTGGGCTGCAGGGTACTTGCCGAAGGATGGCGCTAGTGGGAGCTCTCCGCGTCGCGCTCCTTCACCCAAACTCTCCAACAATACTTCCGCATCCCGCGCCTGACGTCACACTGTCACGAAATTCCCACGACTTTGTCGCAGAATCATCGCGAACATCCTGCTATATCCGTCATCCTAACTGCTTACAAGGCTGCATAGCTCGCCATGGCTGCTCCTGCGAAGATTGATCGTCAAACAACAACGCCCTTCCTTTTGCGCCTCTTCTTCAAGCAGGGCTCATTTAACAGGTATGTGTTTCTGTGTCTATTCGCTCATTCAAACCGACTGTTCGCCTGACGAACCAAAGGCTAGACGAGTTTGACCCAGCACTACCACGCCTTCCAAGAAACGTTCAAATCTACACATGGCAGAGCTGTAGTCTGCGCGAACTATGCACGCTACTTCTCAGCGCAGTTCCGACATTACTACCACAACCGTATACTGGATCGCGTATCGCATTTCGACTCGTCTACCCAGACATCCAAGGCTCCAACCGGCCAGACGCACCAGGACGCTTCATATCGCGAGACATAGGCTCGGTCATTGTAGGCGCGCCATCACGGAATGAGGACACCGACATGGAAGGTGCCGACGGCGAAAGTGCTGCAGAGGCTCTCAAGCAACTCGATGGTGACCCAGACAAGACATTGGCGGATGTCAGGTTTATGATAGGCGACTATGTAGCATGTGCCATACTCCCGCCGCTGCCCGACGGCAGTGTACCAGCTGCCCCTCCGCCACTATCTGGACCGGGCAGGGGACCTCCAGGACAATACGGGCGGGGGCGCGAGAACGGTTTCGGTGGAAGAGGCGACTATGGTGGGTTTGGCAGAGGGGGCAGAGGAGGTGGAGGTAGATTTGATGACGGGAGACTAGGTAGAGGCGTACCATTTGGTGAATGGAGGAGAGGCGAAGCGCCGCCAGAGCGAGAGCCAGGCTTTGGAAGAGGAGGAAGAGGGCGAGGTGAAGATGACTGGCGCGATCGTGGCAGAGGCAGAGGACGGTGGTAGGAAACAATCTCAGTGGTGAACTTCACCGCATCCTTGCTGCGACTCGAAGACGGCACCGAAGTCGTATGAGCTAGCAGCTATACGAGACTTGCAAGTATCTTTCGAAACGCGTGAGTGGCTGTAAATGCTCTCAAGACTCAGAGCTAACGCTGATTCTGAAGAAGGTAGTGCAAATGCATCCAAATCTCAAGATTCCAAATCGTTGGACTGCCGCCAGACTTGAGCGCCTCCTTACCTTTTCACCTGCTTCCTCTCAATCGCTCCGGTGCATTCTCATGTTAAGCAAAATCCCTGGACGTCATCACAGTGATCACGCTAGGGTTAAAGGGCAATCGCGCTTTGGGTAACCCTTCCTGGCTGTGAACGTAGAGAAGCCGAGCTCCAAAGATCTGCCGTTGCGGGTCTTCAGATACCACTCTGTTGTACTGAGGCAGTCTCCTCACTCTCTGCCTCTGTAACTGCAAGGCCCGGTCTAGCCTGATCCACATCGTTGCCGCTTTCGTCTTTTTAGCTGCCAGATGGAATACCCTGGACCGGTGCCATACTGCGAGGTGAACTCCTACCCAAATAGTTCACGCCGACTGCGCCGGTCTACGAAGCTGTTTCTTGTGTGTGAGTAGAACTAGAAGGGAGGAAAACCTCTGGACACGAGTGGAGAGAAATTAATGATAACTTGCAACCTTACTTCTGCCCGAAGAAAAAAAGGTCGATCCCAAGTTAGGACATGACGTCTGTGGATACATGTGGTCTGTATCGATCAGAGCAGTTCAGAGAAGTGTTAGCACGTCGGGAAGATGCACCAAATCTACTCATCAAGCATCAAATGTGCTCATCAGGCTACGCGGAGAAGACACGAACTACGATATTGATCACATGATAAGCTATTTGTAACGCCTGCAAAGGTGTGTTTCCGATCGTTGCAAAAACGACGTGATATATCGACACTGTCGCTGATGCGTTGCTCAAGGATAAATGGGCAAGGCGTATTCGGACAACCCAAGAAGGTGCACCAGCGAGTGAAAACTCGCTGGTGCTGAGGGATCTTGAGACATCCCGTGGAGAATTCTGATCGGCATTATAGAATACGCAAACTCGACGTGTGAACCTCTCGGTTCAGCTGGTTCTCGGAGCCACCGTAGGTCGGAGTTCGCACGGGCTTGCCGCCATAATCACGATACAGGACCAATACCGCTACAAGACCTTGGATATCCGTCCCGCAACAGATCTGCGTCCGATTCTCAAGCACTACTCACATCACATCTCTCAGCCCCCAAATCACATTCGCGCTCTTTTCAAGTCATGTCTGTGCATGGCGATATCACTCACGCCATTCACCAGGTGGTAGTAAGAATAGCAGTGTCGGCACGCTGCAGAGCTGAGATGGTGTGTTGGACCTCATGGTTGGGGACAAAAAGGTGTGGAGGCGAAGCAAGCGATGTGACATACGCATATACACGTGGGGTACCGGATGCGGGAGAAAGGGACAAAGAACGTCATCTCACTTTGAGAGAAACATGCAGCTGCATTGTCAAGCTGGAACTCATGGCTCACTAAACATTGTCGTTCTAGAAGGCGGGAAATCTGAGGTCGCACAGTTCACTTGGGCACCTTTGGCGTTGATAAGCTGAGTCTGGAAGATCACATGACTGAAGGGCTGATCATGATTGGCAGGCACTACCGACATTCCACCAACAAGTTTGCTCGGGTCGCTGAAGGTTCGTCTGTCCACTTGCATGCCATGTATGCAGGGTTTCGAGAACATCCACGCAAGGGCTTTGTTGTCTCGTCAGAGATGCGTCTATCGACCGCTCTTCTGAGGCTGAGAGAAGGCTCGCAGATAGTTTCTTCGCGTCCAGTCCGGGTAAGATGCAGCATTAGCGACATCTGGCGTGATTCGCTGTAAGCGGGAGACGTTGATCAGGCGATCCACCCTGTACGCTAGATGTGAAGGAAGTATGCAGGGTCGTTAGCTGGAGATTAGACGCCGTATACGAAGGCCTATCGACACAATCCTGTGGCAGACCCGGCAATCACAGCGGAAGCTATCGTTAGCGGGAGCTTGGCAGTCATGCAGAGTGCGTCAAAGAAGAGATGATGGTTCAATGAAGGAGGGACATGGATGTTACACCGCATGTCGCGCAAGATGCGCCTGGCTACCAATCAGTACGAGCTAGTGGTGTGTAGCAGGTCAACCGATGTGCAGACATGGGCAGAGACTTCAGATGCAGACTCTCAATCCTAAAAAAGACCTTGGGCTTGGGCTGAGGCACAGACATACTGAGGCAGTGAAGATTGGGTTGATAGATTCGATTCGATTCGATTCGACTCGATTGAATCTTGATTCGACTCACGCATGCAAGAGCTCAGGCCTTGTCGCATCAACCTCAAGCGCATGCTTGAGGCTCAGTCCATATTGAAAGATGTGCGCATACCCAACCGTCATTCTATGTTGTTCGTGCCTGATCTAGAAGGCCTGCATACCAAGTGAAGCCGTTGTATGCAAGGGCATGAATGACTTATGGTTCCGGTCGGTACCTGCCTCATCCCACATGGCCGGCATCCGCCCTTCCTGGACCCGGGCCAAATGGTTAACGGGTAGTTTATCGGATGAAGACTGGCCAATTATCACCAGACGTTGTTCCGATTGCATCATGGAAGGATTGACAGTGGGGAAGTGGATCACCTGCCAGCAGGTAGCGCAGAAAATGCGGTCAGTACGGTTTCGGAAGGACCGATGGATGTGCACGTTATCTCTTTGACGGGTTGTAGACCGTTTTGGATGGTCCCTGTACGTCTCCGGGAAAAGCGGATGTGCTTGTTGTAGGTATCACTTCGAAAAATCGAAGGACATCTTCGCTTACGTTGTCACTGTGCTCCTCTTTTGCGTCTATATTGGGTAAGACGTCGTGACTCTGCGTCTTTATTTTGGTATGCATAGAGGTCAGTTTCTGTAATCCTAGTCAGACCACAGCTATGATTCTCCCTATTGTGGGTTGAGGTGCGGCATCGAGACCTTTCTCTCGCTCTTACCGAACCGCTTCTACCTACGCAGGGTTGTGCACCCAGTTCTTGGAAAGCTCCCTGGCCCGAGATTCCCATGTCTGAGAGTCTCATATCATGAAAACACTGATATCATCGTTAGCCTCGATACCTTGTTACCGTTCCTACGAGCGCAACCTAGAAAGACAAGGCAAAGCGAACCCAAGTACTCTAGGACCAAATTAGTTGGCGTAGGATTTCAAGCCGCGATCAGAATAGGCGTTTAATGCGGGTGAGTCCTCGGGTTCTAATCTGAGAAAGGTTGCTGCGCCGGATACTGGCTTGCTGTGCCACTCTCCTGTTGGCTTGTTTAAGCGCTGCGGCGCGCGGAAAGCTGTTATGGCCTCCCATACGTCCACCCGAACCGGCTTCCAACCCGCGAATGATAGATTGTTCTTCTTCCTTGACCACAAATTCGCTCGTAGATCTGACGATGGTATGTGCTGGTGGATCTGCCCTCCCAACGCATTCTCAAGGTCGAGGCTGGTGGGATGCAGATCCGAATCGATCACAATCTCGCTTTGCCGGATGCGGGACAAAACAATATCGGTGTAGAGCCTACAGTCTCGATTGGTATTCCTCCATCGTCAGATCGCATCTGGGCATCTGTAATCGTGCAATATTCCGACACTGACGTTCGCATCTAACACACCCTCATTGGAAGGTCATCCTGTATTCATGGTCAGTGCGCAGGATTCCAGCTTCTAGATAGACTACTCAGCTTCCTTTGAGGCTTTGAAACGTTGCTCTCCCCAGGTTATAATCTTAGCTACCATGCAATGTACGCTTTGGTGCACCCACTCATGGGCTGCAACAGCCAGCCAACACCA